AACCAAGAACGCAGCTCAGATACAAGTTCACTTCAAATGGCTATGGCGGCACATCGCCTGTACAACTCTCTGCTCGTCACTCACTCAACACTGCTGTTCGCACACAGGATCACCCTGGATATCCCACACGCAACTCTCTGTACACTCGCACACTCACACACGGTACTCTCTCTCCTATCAGCTATGGCGGCTCTGGCCGCTGCTACCCTATCACTATGCCTAAGCTTCCTTCTCGCCCACTTCGTCTTCGGGCTCACTGCAGACCACTTCGCACAAGTCGTTGTGGCAGCGCTTCCGCATGGCTTCCGCAGGAATCCCCCCATGGTTGGGCGCTGCCTCTTGATTTATACTTCTGTAACTCGCTGGTCTGCCCTTTCGCATTGGCCCATGGTGCACACAGTCCCTCATGGTACTTGCTGGACTGGACTGGGACTGACTGGACCGGTACCGCTGACTGCATGGGTTTGCACCACAGACTCACTGCAGTTGCACTGCCAACGTACTGAGGTTGGCTCCACCACTCGCCCACTTGCCTCTGCCTAAACGTGAGCCCACTCCAAAAGGCCACTTCCAGGACCTTCCGGAAGTCTGTGGACTTGGCCTTTCGGGTACTGTAGCAGCTACGACCTTGACCTTTCAGGGTTGTAGCAGCTACGACCTTGACCTTTCAGGGTTGTAGCAGCTACGACCTTGACCTTTCAGGGTTGTAGCAGCTACGACCTTGACCTTTCAGTAGACCTATAGCTACGACCTCTACAGAGCTGTGACCCCTACTCAACAGACCTACAGATCGAATCCCTACATCAGCACAGTCCTACGATAGACAAACAACAACTAACAAAACACAGGTCACGGGTTCAAACACTCAGGGGTCAACTCGATACTGTACACAGGTAAGGTCAGAACTAGGGATCGAGCCCTGGGATCTGCATTTGCTACTGCTAGCAGGTGAAAACCGTTTCACATGGGGTAGACAAATGGGCAGGCAAACAGCACAAGGCAGTAAGGGAACGGCAGCAAGTCAAATAACGACAAGGCAAAAGCAGCAAACGAAAAAAATACCAGTATAAAAAAAACAAAGACTGAAAAAAAAAAAAAACCCTGATGATACATTGTTTCGTCGGAGTTGCACCAACTCATCAGGAGGCTGAACCCTCGACAATCTGCGGAATCTCCGTAATTGATGGTTTGGGTCATGAACCCTTTGAACCTTGTTGAAGGCAGACTGTCCCCAAGCGGAACATAGCAGCAGGCAGCAACCCTGCGGAGGCAACACTGCTGAACAGCGCCAAGAAAAACGCTGCAAGGAACGACACTGCAGCGGAAGACAGATGAACATCACAACAACCCTGCAGTGAAGCACAAGGCAACACAAGCAAGACACCACACTGCAAAGGATGACAGGGCTAGCGGACCAGCAGATAGGCAACTGTGCAGCAAAGCACAAGGCAACAGCAACAAGGCAACCAGCCTACACGGTTGACAAGCAGCAAACACGGAAGGCGCAACCAGCGAATGAGCAGCAAGGCAGCGGAGCAGCGAAGCGCAAGGCAACACCAACAACACGGCCACACCACACAGCGAACACATCAACCTGCAGAGAACCACATGCGAAGCCAGCCGGACAGGCAGGAGGGCCGTGGTGGTGCGCAAACGAGGTCGTCCACACATCCAACATGGAGCAAAGCGGCACATGCCCTACTCACATCACGATTGAACCGCGCAGACTGTTGGTTCCCACCACCCACTGAGCCAGGGAGACACTCCGACGAGCATTCGTCGTCACCCACATGTAACACAGACATCCTGAACCAAGCGGCCCCCCTGAGAGTGCAGTAGGCACTCCAAACGTGGCACTACCGACTGTTTGGCACTACTTAAGGGTGCTCAGTTGGGTAAGCAAAAATACTTGGAAAAAATCGGAGGGGGGACAGACAACAAGAGGAAAACAAACAGACATAAAAAAACTGATTGTGTGTGTTGTTTTAAAAGACCCTAGATTCTCTCTCTCATTCCCTTCACAGATCATCACAAGCCATCCATAAGGACCATAACGAAAAAGTATACATAGGGAATATAATAGAAAATGCAAGGTTGGTTACGTTTGTGTGGTTCAGTGCCAAGTACCCGCACACCCGTCTGCCGCCAAAGCGGCACACTTGCACATATACACTTGTATACATATATATTTCAAACCATAAGGGGATGGAGGACATAATTTTTTTTTTTTTTTTTTTTTTTAACACCCATAAAACACAGCTAGGGGTAATAATAAGAGCATGTACCCCTAGCTATATTCATAGGTGGCTCCGGTCTATTAGTGGGGAGCATCACGTGCTGGAAACCACGTCCAGCATCCCATGATAACATTCAAGGATGAGCATAGTTATCTGAGAAGCCACAATTGCCACTTCAGTCCCGTAGGGACCGCCAGGAATAACATTCAGAGCTAGCTACCACTGCCCCTCATAAGATTATCCTTGTCAACTCCCCTCCAAGCCAAAACGTTGTATTTCTACAAGGGCAAGCTCAGAAGGGGGAAATGGATCTACAAAAGAGATTGGAGCTCTGAGGGTAGCTCCTGGACGAAGGGTAAACCAATCCTTGAAGATGAGCTGGAAGTCCCTTTTGAAGGATTCCTCCCTCCCCTCTTCTCCTGGCCATATCACCTCCCCCAAGTTCCTTTCCCCAGTACCCCCCAGCTAGTCCATAGTAAAGTTCTGGATTGCCTTTGGATGTTTTTTTTTTTTTTTGACAATTACGTAGTTTGGATGTAACGGCCGCCCATTGGGCTCTGATCTCTGTTTGTAAAAATTGGACAATTTATTCAATCATCTCTGATCCCTCTAGATTTACTTCTTCACGTACAAAAACACATCTCTTATACCGTAGTGTCCATAAAACCGCTTTCCTGCTGATTTCAAAAAAATTGAGTTGGAAATTGGATAGCTCTAGGTCATGTGGAACCGAGTATCCTAGGAGGATAGCCTTCCAATCCCAAGGCCAGTCTAGATTAGTTAGTTATCGCCATGTGCAATCCCACCTGCGCCATGTTAGTACTGAACCGGGGCATTGCATAAAAATGTGCTCAATGGTTTCTCTACATTTTCTCCCTGGGAAGTTGCGTAGCATGGCGAACGTGTCCGCGCCCCTTCACGTTCGCACGAACATGTTCAGGCGAGCATAATTTTTTTGTCATAAAAAAAAAAAAAAAAAAGCTGGGTAGCACCCCACTGCGTACGCGTACGTATTCCGACGTACGCGTACGAACCCAAAATCGTGCATACGCGTACGTTAAAAAAAAAAAAAAAAAAAAAAAAAAAAAAAAAAAAAAATCTGAAAACAAAGTATGTTGTGCAGAATAATCATACAAACAACATTTGCCTCGGAGTAATACCCGAATTCCAAACCAAGCTCGATTTAAAAATCAAACACCTTAACAAATTAAAAAAATATTTTTAAATAGTTTTTTCATTATTATGATAATATTACCTTTTTTTTAGTTTTTAATTTCTTACTCAAGTTTGGTGGGGAATTCGGGGATGACTCCCAGGCAAAAGTTGTTTGTATCATGTTTCTGAATAACATATATTTGTTATAGAAGTTTGTTTTTATTTTTGTGTGTCTTTTTCCTAGTTTTTTTTTAATTATTTTAATTTATTTGTTTTTTGTGTCTTTGATTTTTAGTTTGGTACAG